ATAATAATAATAATAATAATAATAATAATAATAACAATAATAATAACAGAAAAAAGAATAAAAAAGAGTATTAATGATAATACCGATAGCAGCTACAATATTTTGCCATTTTCATATTTTATACTTTGAATATTTTTCCAGGTATGATTCTCGGATGTATTTTTATGTGCATAGTTGCGCTTTTTTTCACGACAACTGCTTATTTGTTGGCCCAAACTTGGGGTATAATGAGAGATCGATGGCCAGCCTATAAAACACACTGTCGCCGACCATATCCAGAAATTGGATTGCGTAGTTTTGGATTTAAAATGAGGTAAAACAATTCTTTAAAGCCTTAAACTTTTTTTTCAATTTCAAAAAAATCCATGCACATTTTTATCTGTTAAAATTGTTTTTCGGTTGATGTTTTTTAGCTTTACGAGACTTGGTGCTTGACTTTAAGATACCACCAGTATGAATTGTTTGGAAACTACAAACTACAACATTCGTGTAAAAGTTGTTAAAAATTAAAACAGTGTTACAAGAAGCAGTAATATTATTTGCAGCATCAAACCTAAAACAATTCATCTTACAAAAATTATCTATTAATATTTAAAATAGTAATTTTTAGAGTTTTCACGGCTTTATGCGTTTACACCACACTTTTTGGTACAACAACAGTTTACGTTATTTTGTCCTCAAGTATATTTCATAAATTTTTGGCATTTTGGGGTATTAAAATACATTTTTGTTTGCTGTTAATCATCCTTGCAATAATGATCCTACCGGTTACTTTCCTCAAATCTCCAGCTGATTTTTGGTTTGTAGAAACTTTCTTCTGCAGTACAATTAATGTTCACTTAAAAAAATTCCTATTCAGTGTTAATTCAAGATTTATGTTTTATATGTTGCAGTATGTATATATGTTACTGATTAGATTTAAACATTTCAAATAATTAAAACAATCAGATCATGTTGATTTGATATTCATTAGTAGTGATTATGTATCAGCATGATTCTGGTAAAATTAAACCATCTATACATTATCAAAATGCAGTGGCGTCAGAAATTCAATGGATGTCAATACTATCTTATTGAAATAAAAGTCCAGAAAAAAAATCTTTGTAATTAACGCAATCGTAGTATCATTTTCATGTTCTTATATTCTTCTGGTTACAAAAGCAGTAAAATGATGACTCAAAAATCTATTAAATTAGCACTGGAAAATATTAATATTAGAAAAATATACTTTACAATAATTCTGATGCTTACTGCTTTGATTGAGCATTTTTTGTAATCGACTACCCATTGGTAATCTTTATAGCAAATTTATTGCATTTCAATAATGTACTGGTAATAAAACTAATTTTACCAAATAACAGATAACTGAATTTTAGGGGTGTTGTTGCATTTGCACTTGTGTGCACAATTATTTGTGTTGCACTAATTTTAACTGGAATTAGTTTTGATTATGAAACATGTTACGGGTCAGCTGCTTATCAGCCAATATCATATCAAGCCTTATATAGTCTTGGAACATTTGTGTTTGCCTTTAGTGGACATCACGTTTTTCCAACCGTACAACATGATATGCGCGAACCAAAATATTTTACAAAATCTGTTTTGCTCGGATTTTTCAGTTCGTTTTTCAAGAGTGTTGAGAGAATGTGATTGCTTAGACTTTATTACAAATTCGATTTCAAATTTTTTTTGTAAAATTATATTCAACCAAAAATGTTTCATAATTTTTAAAAATTAACTTAAAACGTACTCCTCAAAGAATATGTTTGAAGTTTTGTACTAAGCAATTTGGTAAATTAAAATAATTTATTTTTGTTCACACACAAAAATGTTCAACAATAAAATTATTACTATGGAAGATTGTAGAATATTGTGCTAGCAACTTTTCGTATTCATTACTAATTTACATATAAAATAGATGTCAAAAATTTTATTATATATTTAGTTAATTGTTGCTTGTACATACCAGTAGCTTTGTATTCGTATGCCGTTTATGGACAAAGTATGCGAGATTCGGTGATTGATTCGCTTCAAACTCCTTGGATCCGATATACAGCTGATTTAGCCATTGCATTTCATTGCTTGCTTACTATTATTCTCACTATCAATCCAATCAATCAGCAACTGGAAGATATTTTTAATGCATCTCACAGTTCTGACTTTGATTTACACTTCAACAAAATTTGCTTTAAAAGTTTCATAAAATTAATGCAAAAATATAAATGTCTAGAGGAAAAAAGTGTATAAAACGTTGTTAGACAGAGATTTCAATCTTATCATTGCATGAGAATTGACATTAAAAATGATATAATTACTACTTGTAAATTAATTTTAGTAAAATTTGCAAATAAAATTAAATTTCAGCTGAAAATTATTTTTTGTTTGCAAGAAAAAAATTTGTTTGAAGAAGTTTTATAGAAATGAGCTGGCAACGTGTTGCTGTTCGTACTGGTCTCCTTTCAGTCATTTTATTTGTGGCTTTAACAGTTCCAAATTTTGGGTCAATCATGGATTTCTTTGGTAGTACAACTATTCCATTCACTTGTATCATTTTGCCAACTTTATTTGGCCTTTCTCTTAAAGCACAGCGATATAATGAGAAAACAAAAGAATGGGAAATACCTACATGGCAACAGTTAGTTATGCTTGTATTCTAACTGATAATCATTTTCATTACATGTAATAGTATTGTTGTCTTTTGTTTACTTAAAATGTAAAATGAATTTCTGACATTAAAATTCTACTTCCTAAATCAGTTTTAAATCATTATTAATTTAAAATACATGCAGAATGGAAAATGAATAACTGCAATCACTTTATAACTTTAATCTCATGATGAGAGAGATATTATTAATAATTAGCGCTCGTCTAATACGAAAAATGCCATGAACAACTGCAAAAGTAAAATAATATTTTTTTGCATAATAATGACAAAATCAAAATTTTAAATATATCATAAATTAAGATATTGTCACATAAATTTTGAGTGATCACTTTTTTTATCTCTCAGTTATCAAATTCCATTAATATATATTTTTATAGTTAAATTTTACAGAATTTATGAGCGTACTCCACGTTATATCTTCTGTTGGTATGCGCTTGTAAACGGTAGGTCAATTTATAATTAACATTAAAATTGAGCTAATTAGAAATACACTTACTAATTACGCATTTTTACAAGAATATTTAAATATATTACTTTACCAAAACAATTAACAGCTCTCTTTTTATAGTTGCTACTTCATTTTTTTATTTATTCTAGATGTGATTACCATCTACAGACATTATTTGCGCAATATTATTGCTAAAAAAAATCAAAATATATTCACATGTAAGAGAATACTAAGAATAGAAAGTTCCGTAATTCATGAGACGATGTATCTGTAGAATTGTTTTTTTCAGTATTCATTAAATTAGAATTTAAAGAAAATATATAAGTTTATTTCAATAAAGTCATATTAAAATATAAATATTGCGTGTAACAAATTCAGCTTAAATTTCAGTGATTACAATATTTGCATCAATTATAAGTGCTATTATGGCAATAAAAGCGATGGCGACAATTCGATTTGTTCCACCATGTTATCTCCAACCTTTTCTACAATTTGAAAATCAATTTGAAGAAATTTCTCATCTAGTGAACTGTTGTGGACGGTATTCGAACAATACATGGATATCAAAAGATACGTGTTATCCTAGAATTTGAGTACTGCTCTGTATATAGACTGGAAGCAAAGATCGATTATTTGTCTCTTAATAAAATTATATTCCTTTTTTCTTATTTGCGAGCATATTAACTGTTTAAACTTTTCAAACTATCACATTCAATCACAACAAGTAAAATATCAAATATTCCCAAACAAATATTGCCATGCTTTTTTGTGCAAATTTATTATTCTTCGAGGATAGCTTTGTTTTGTGACTGAATTAATTTAGCATTATTTGTGTTTACTAAGCAAATTAATTCGAAAATCTGTATTTTGTAGCTTTCATTCCTCTTTACGCCTAGTAACTTTCTTTGGTTTTCTCAGGCTCATCTGAAAATTTTCAAAACCTGTTCAGATCAAAATAAAATATTCTTCTTAAAAGCGAAATTAAAAATACTTCTGTCATCAAAATGCTTTCCTGGAAATGTCGAACATGATTAAACTTTTGCAACAAATGTTGTCTGCTTTTCAAGTTTTATTTTATTCAATATTCATTCCATTTCCTGAAAAAAAAAGTTTAAAGCTGTTTTACTCAATTTATAGCATTCATCAGAGTACAGTTCCTGAAATTTCACTGCACAGGTTTAAATCTAGCAGAACTGCCATAAATTTTATATACCTATGTCTCGATTTTTCACAAGGTCAATAATACTGTAATCTTCATCAATATCAAATGGAAAAATTTTGTCGAAAATCGAGTTGTATTGTGAAGTTTATACAGTTCTGTATTATTCTATAATGAATGAATAAATAGGAAAACAAATGATAATTAAAAAAAACAACGAAATTAGGATTATCAAAAACTGATATAATAATGATTTCCTTCAATTTTAAGTCATTTCAAATCAAACTCAAATGTAACTGTCATTATTTT